TTTTACACAACATTTTCTATAGTAATAATTTGGGATGTCAAAAAAAAAGATAAAATTTTTAATGAATTTTTTAATCTTAATAAAATAACCTATATATTTAATTAAAACAATAAATAATTAATTTTAACATGTATAAAAACTAACTCAGAAATATCTTGCTGTTAAAATAAAAATAATAATAATAACAGTTGAAAAAAAAAAAACCAATAATAATAATAAAGGCTCTGAAGACAATGGATCCTAATTAATCTATATGGCTATATACGAAAAGGGGACTTTTATACGAGCATAAAGCTAAAACCATTTAGGAAAGGACCTCATCAGTACTGATTAAATACTTCAGGAACGACAAAATTACAAGGAAAAATGTAAGCATCAAAATCTGAAAATTTTGAAGTTAGTTTTTTAAAAATAAGAAGTTACCTATTTTTTTCTCTCTTTAAAAAAGAAAAAAAAAAGGAAGTACCCAGGCCCAGGGGTCATGAAGTATGCAGTGAAAAGTTTGGATGCCCTTTGATGGGGTTTTTAAGTCAGCTTGCTTTAAAACAAGTATTTTTTGGTCATCTTTAATGTAAATTTATTTCTCACAATTTTAAAAATCTGTTCAAGAAAAATTTTGAATATAATTTTTTGAGTGGCTTAAAAGTGAGTTATAAATTCATCGATGATTACTTAAGTGGTAATACATTTTTAGTAAAAATAAGAGATTTTTTGTTTGAGCTATATAATGTGTAGATATTTTAACTTAAAGAATAAAATAAAGTGTTATATCTTATTATTTTATTTTTTAAAAAAATTGAAGCTCAAATTTTATTGACTATTGAAACTCTTTTTTTTTTTTTCAATGAAAAAATGTTAATTGCATTAATCATTTATTCATTCAGAACAAACTCTGTTTGATCTGTGGAAGATAAAATATATTAGAGGAAAATAAATAAATAAATTTATTTTGTAGTTTGTACTCTAATTTATTTTGAGGGAGAAAGAAAGCATATAATTGATTAATATTTATAAAATTAATTACAGTAAGCTTTTTTTTTTTTGAAACATATTTTCTTCACATTTTTTGCATACCTATCAGTTCCAGTTGTTCCAAATAAAGTATGAGAATATGCTATTTGGGGACTCTTCACTGTATTATAAAGAAATAATTTTAAAAAGGAAGATAGGAACCCCTTTTCATCTTCTCATTTCTGCTAAATTAATTTGTTGGGGAAATTTATTTAAAATAATAAGAAAACATAGAAAAGACCCGATATATGTTCTTTTTTAATATTCTGACCAAATATAATGAAACAGAATAGAAGAAGAATTGGGACTAGTCCTCTTCAACTTCCTTCACTCAACTTGCATACCATTCCACGTTTGAAATTTGGATATTATGATTTCACTGTTTACTCTTGGTTCGTCCATTTTCCAATTTCAACAAAAAAAAAAAAATGTCAACGAAACAGAATAAATAGTTTTTAATTTGAATTCACCCCCTTTTTTCTTTGGTCAGGCACAGAAAATAATAATTGATTCAGAGATGATGGTCATTGTCAAATTACAAAGTTTTACTTTTCTGTTTTAATCATCACAACAGAAAAAAAAAAAGATTTATTTTATTGAATCGTAACTTTAGATCTAATAATTTCGATCTCAAATCTTAAATTTTGGATGAGATGGTTAGAGTTTTGAACTCTACCACTATTGTAAATTTTACCAAAAAGTGACTTGATGACCGCATACCTTATTTGAGGGGTGAAATATTCACCCAATCTGGAGATTGAATCTCCAATTACTAACAACTAATTCATATTAATTTCTTAACTATTAGTCCCGTAAAAAAAAAGATTTTATTTTAACTTCTTTTGTTTTTTTGCATAAAAAAGCATTATAGGTTGTCCTTGGAAAAGATGAAAAAGACCTTTATTTTTTCCGGAGGGTGATGCCTTTGATATAATTGATTATCTTTTATTATGTAATTTATAATTTTTTTTTAAAATCTCATAACATGACTAGTTATATATTTTTTCAATAAATATACTTTGAAACTCGAAACTTAATTGATCAGTAAATTGTGCATTTTTCTACCAAAAAAAAAAAAGGTAAATTGTGCATTTAGTCCCTAAATTTAATTTAGGGGGCAGATTAAATAAAAATGGTCCTTTGAAAATTTTCTTTTGTTTTTTTTTTCTTAACGTAAGCAATTGTGTGGATCAATTTGGCTTGGACTAGTGAGACTTGGGAATCCACTTGTAAAGGAGTCTAATTTTTTTTATTTTTTATGAACAAGTATAGTTATATTAACAATTGCAAAAATTATAATGCAAATGATATCTTACTATATAGCTTGTACAAGTAATATAAATAAGTTAGGAATGACCTATGACACTAATATATAGAGTTAAGTGTTCCTTATAAATATGACAATTAGAAACTAGAAACCTCTAAATACTAGTATATGTCAAAAGGGAATCCATAGAGCTATGTAACGATATAGAAAGATTACTTTGGAGCTTTATTGTCACCGCTAGTAATCACATCTATTTTATCATCCAAACCTAGCATGAGAGATTAGAGGACTTGGCGATGCAGTGTCTCCCAGTACCACAATGCTTTGTCCAAACCTAAGTGGTCTTCTATCCAGCAAATGAATGAAAGAAAACATCTGCCTGCATTGCAAGTGCAGTTCCTAAGTTGCTAAACAATACCTTTGTTGCCTTTTCATCCTCCATTCCTTGTTGCATATTTTTTCCTTTTCCTCTTTATTTCTTTCTTTAAGTGATGGGTAGATGCAAGGTTCCTATCGATTCTTTTCCAAGTTCCATGACCTAAAGCTGTTGATTTTCCTCCTTTAGAGGATGCTATAACTTGTTGCATTAGTATCTCTACAAGCTGGAATTCAAGAGCATGGTCTACATTTTCAACCATTTGTTTTACAAGTCCATCACCTTTGCAATGTCCTTCTCTACTTCTTGGTTTTGAGAAGCCTAAGGAGAAGGTGCTATGCTTGACTCCTCCTCACCTTCAATCTTCTGTTTTCTACCTTAGTAGTCTCAACTTCTAATTCTTTACTTATTTTGTTTATTTCTTCCAAAAGTTCCAAGTTTTCCAAATCCTCCAGACCCCAACCATCAACTTCTGCTCTTAGCCATGGTCCATAGAACTTTGTTACTTTGTAGTTAGCTTCCTTCAAATGGAAGCCTATATCACAATCTGCTTCAATATACCCTATACAACCACAAACATAACAAAAATTTAGAAGTCGCTTGTACTTAATTCTTACTATTTTAGTCTCAATTTCAATCATCCTGATGGTTGAGGATCTTCACAGAGGCTTACCCACTAGAAGATTAACTCGAACTTGAAGAGATTTTCCATGATGCTCATCCACCTCAAGAACCATTCCAATTGAACTACCTACAAGTCTACCCACCCTCTTAGATCTTAATCTCATTAGCAATCCGTGAAGGTGAATCTAAAATGGATTGGTATTGAAATCATGCTGCTCTAGCTCAAGAATTGTTGAAACCCTCTTTAGAATAACAAGGGAATTGCTAAAGTTCCATGGAGCTTTTTATAATATCCTATCTAGATCAAATCTATTAGAAAATTGAAATAGGAAAATTTTCTCTCCAACCTTAGTGATCTTCATCTCCTACGTCAATTTCCAAGAAAGGTTTATGGCATTAGTGAAGCTCGTAAGATTAATCCTTTTCTTAATAAGAACTTTTCCAAGCAGACAGAAGTCCTCCTTATTATTCATCGATGAATTCCATTCTTGAACTAAGGAAACTTCCCCTTTTTCTCCAATAGACAGACGAATGTTATTCAATCATAAGCCTAGATCTTCCTTCGTTGGATTTGTTGTGCCATTTGGAACCAACATTGAAGCTAAAATCCCTCTAGCCATCCTTCGCAAACCTTGAAAAACACCACGCTGTAACCCTTGATCACAGGATGTAGGTTGGCAACAAAGACCCAAACTAACTGCAATCTAATAAGATGAATCAAGCGACCAAATAAAAAATAAAAAATAAAAAATAGAATAAATTTAGAGATGATGATAGATTAAAGATAAATTAGGGGAGAAAAGAAACTCCCCCAAAGGAAGAGAGATCCGAAAGGAAGAAACCAAGAACAAACGCTAACCCTAACTCTAGAGAAAGGGGCGATCATGCATAAATTTTTGGGTTAAATCCTCATTTTGGTCCCTTTACTTTGGTAAAAAAACCCCTTTTTTGTTTCTCTACTTAAAAAAACCCCTTTTTGATCTTAAAGTTTGAAAATCCGACCCCTTTTTAATCCTTTCATTAAGTTTTACACACATGACATGTTATATGACATAAATTTCAAAGTAGAAGGAGCAAAATGGGGCTAAAAAGGGGGCTATTTTAGCTCCATTTTGGTTTCTCTATTTTGGCAAAAGCCCCCTTTTTGGTCCCTCTATTTTAAAATTTTCATCATCTAACGTTAAAACTTAACATAGGAATTAAAAAGAGGTTTTTCTAAATAAAGGAATTAAAAGGGAGTTTTTTTTGTCAAAGTAGAGGGACCAAATTGAAGTTTTAACCTTCTTATTTAAATCCACCCTTAATTATTTTTGAATAAAGGAGTCTAATGTTTTAAATTAGATATATTATCCTTAAACTGTCTCAATTGATAAACTGATGTAATTACTTTTACTTTCAAAATCAACCTTCTACTTATAAAGAAGGTAACAATAGAAAATTTTAATAGCACAAGCCTTATGAGAGGTGGAAAAGCTATAGTTCTGGCTTTAGAGATTAATTTCCCCCAAGTTGAAAACAATTGAATCTCCACAAGGTTTGCAAGTCAAGATAGAAGTCGATCGCCAAAGTCTCACTAATTTGAGCCAAATTGACTACATTTTCCCTCTCCTCCTCTTATCCCCACAATTACTACTTTAAAAAAGTGTCTCAACTAATTAAAAATTTAAAATTTAAAATTAGAGATCTTAAATTCAAATTTTGAGATGATGGAGAAGAATTAAAGAAATGAAAGAGTTAAAATCTATGGTATAATCCATTATTTGATATAAAAAATAATTACTTACATTTAAAAAATACCAAAAAAAATTCAAAGGACCATTTTTTATTTAATTTGCCCCTAAATTAAATTTTGGGACTGAAGCAGCCGGGACAAAATGTTGCTAGTGATTTACAATCAAAGTGGATCTGATGGTTTTCTTTCGCTTAATAAAAGAGTCTTCCACATTTTCCAATTATCTATTGCACCTTTTGAATACAAATTTTTTGACCTCAAGTCAAATTCAAAGTAACTTAAGAAGTTTCGGAGAGACATTTAATAATCCGACTGACAATTCTTTTTTTCGAGTTTGGACTCAAAAATTCAAAAACAGTATTGTTAAAACGATAATTATATTTTTTTAAAAAATGCATAGAGTGACAACTGACAACTAAAATGGCAAATGGAGGGTCGCATGGTTATTACTTATTGCCGAATAAGGTTTTTCTTTTTTTTTTTTAAGACCACATAAAATATTAATTTAATTTATAAAAATTGTTAATAATTATAATTATTAAGTAATAGAATAGTTGATATTTATTATTTAATAAATTAAAACTAAAACAACATAGCATGTTAATTTGACT